TCTAACTGACCTTTCTGTATTCACACCTGCCCACTGCGGTCTGCTCACAGTGAAGCCCAAGTGATTCTCTTGAAATTTATTTATTTTAATATTGTTTATTTATTATGCATACGGTGTTCTGCTTTCATATATGCCTGCAGGCCAGAAGAAGGCACTAGATCTCATTACAGATGGTTGTGCGTCACCATGTGTTTGCTGGGATTTGAACTCAGGACCTCTGGAAGACCAGTCAGCACTCCTAACCTCTGAGTCATCTCTCTTGAAATTTAAATGTAACCTTCCTTTCATTAGATGCACTCCTTGCCCACATTCCACCAAGGACTTCTTATCTCATATCATAGAGGCCCAAATCTCTGGTTTCCTTTCCTCGTTGCTGTGAGCCTCTCTGAAATGCCCTCGCTGTGTGATAAGCATGCGCTTATATTCCATGAGCAGGTCGGCTGTGAGTGTGGCCCAGACCTTTGAACTTTCTGTTCCCACTCCTTGATCGCTCCAATGTCTCTGCATCTCTTGCTCCCTTCAGGCTTTCACTTAATTAAGCTCCCTCTGTGCAGCTCAACTGACTGCCATATTAGCTTTCTTTCTTTTTGTATTCATTTTTCGAAAATAAATTTTATTTTAATTAAAAGCAATCTTATTTTACATACCAATTACATACCAGTTCCCTCTTCTTCCTGTCCTCCCATGCCCCCCACGAACCTCCCATCCCACCCCCATCTACTTCCCAGGGAGGATGAGGCCTCCCATGAGGGATCATCAAAGTCTGACACATCATTTGGGGCAGGATCTAGGCCCTCCCCTGTGTATCTAGGCTAAAAGAGTATCCCTCCAAAAGGAATGGGCTCCCGAAGCCCTTTTGTGCACTATGGATAAATACTGGTTCCACTGCCAGAGGTCCCATAGACTGCCCAGGCCTCCCAACTGACAATCACGTTCAGGGGGCCTGGTTCAGTTCTATGTTGGCTCCCCAGCTGTCAGACTGAGGTCCATGAACTTCCACTTGCTCAGGTCAGCTGTTTCTGAATCTAAAATGGCTGAAAAACACATAAGAAATTGCTCAATACCCTTAGCCATCAGGGAAATACAAATTAAAACAACTCAGATACCATCTTACACCTGTCAGAATGGCTAAAATCAAAAACACCAGTGACAGTTTATGCTGGAGAAAATGTGGAGAAAGGGGAAGACTCCTCCATTGATGGTGAGAGTGCAAACTCATACAGCCACTTTGGAAATCAGTATGGTGGTTCCTCAGGAAAATAAATGGGAATCAGTTTACCTCAAGATTCAGCAATTCCACTCTTATGTATATACCCAAAGGATGCACAGTCATACAAAAAAGACATCTGTCCAAATGTGTTCATAGCAGCGTTATTTGTAATAGCCAGAACCTGGAAGCAACCTAGATGCCCCTCAACTGAAGAGTGGACAGAGAAAATATGGTACATTTACACAATGGAGTACTATTCTGCAAAAAAAAAACAATGGAATCTTGAAATTTGCAGGCAAATGGAAATAGAAGAAACCATCCTGAGTGAGGTAACCCAGACACAGAAAGACAAGCATAGTATGTACTCACTCATAAGTGAACATTAGACATAGAAAAAAGGATAACCAGCCTACAATCCACAACCGCAGAGAAGCTGGGAAACAAGGAGGACCCTAAGAGAGACATACAGAGGAAAGGGACACGATCTTGAGTTGGAGGAAGAATAGAGAAGGAGAGCAAGAAAAGAGAAACCTTAACAGAGGGAGCCATTATAGGTGTAAAGAGAAATCTGTCCAGGGATCCACAAGGATGACCCCAACTAAGAATCTAAACAGTAGTGGAGAGGCTACCTTAAATGTCCTTCCCTTATTATGAGATTGATGACTACCTTAATTGCCATCCTAGAGCCTTCACCCAGTAGCTGATGAGAGCAGAAGCAGAGATTCACAGCTAAGCACTGAGCCAAACTCGTGGAATTCAGTTGCAGAGAGGGAGGAGTGATGAGCAAAGGGGCCAAGGCCATATTAACAACTTTCATCTGCCCTGACTGCCCAACCCCTCTCTACCATGGTTAAATTTTCTTCCTACCCATTATTCCCATCTAGCAAACTATATCTTTACTGGTACATTTCTATACTGAACCTTTATTAACACCTCCACCCCAGTCCCACACCTAGCCAGGTTTTGTGAGGTCAGAGGTCAGGACCTGATTTTCACCCTGTCATATATCTAGTATTTGAACACTGAGGGCAGGATAGCCCTGTTCTGTCGATGACTCATGACATAATTCTCTACTTCCTGGGCTGCCCAGTCACTGAGGCTCCCACAGACCAGAAGCAAACCTTCCGCCTGTGTGAGTCATTATCCCTGGGACTCTGTTTAAAAAGGCACACAAAACCCTGACTGGCTCAATGCTATAAAACATAACCCACGGAGAAAAGGGCATCTTCTTGATACACAAAGACAAGAGAGCCTTTTTGAGGAAATGGAAAGGGAAAAAATCTCCATATTTCTTGTAGGTTGGTACTCACACTATTGTAGATTTCAAATCCCCTTGGGCCTCATAGGTTCAATGTAAAAAGCCAATATGGTGACCAGCATAGCAATGGTGTTATCTTTTTTGCTTTAAGAATAAAAATAAACATTGTTTACAACCAATCTGCTCATGGTTTTCAATCTGCTCAAACAACCCAATCACCTTGTTTCTTCCCAGTCAACCCTGCGTCCTTGGCAGAGCATCTCATGTTCATAGTCTAAGCATACAGACCATGAGGTGACCTGAAACTACAAACACGGTTTGCAGAGATGAGAGCTTGCATCATTTTTTTCTTTCCTGTAATATTTGTTTCCTGTGACCAAAAAGAGGAAGTGTATAAACATGAAGGGCTGGTCTGTTGTGTGCTAAGTGGTTGGCTTTGTCAGTTAGGTAAAAGGGTAAAATAGTCATACAACCTGAGAAGAAACCAAAGCACATACCAGTTTAGATGGTTATCATAAAAACACCTTAGACTGGGTGACTGAAACAGACTACATTCCTTTCCGTTTTAGAGGTTGAAAATCCAAGAAGAACTTGTTGGTTATTTCATTCTCCTTGTGGTGTACGGGAAGTTGTCTTCTCTATACCTTCTGGCAAGGAGAAGGAAAAGACTGTTCTCCCTTCCTTTGTATGAATTAGGCCACAGATCTCATGAGGAGGATCCCCTGAGACTTATAGCCCTAACAGCTTTCCAAATGCCTCATCTCCAAACACCGTCTGAAGGTTTGAGGGCTTATACTTCACTCAACCCAAAAATGGTGATTCAGAATAGCAATAACTGGGCTGGAGAGATGGCTTCGTATCGATAGCCCTTGTTGTGAGAGGATCTGAGTTCAAATTCCTAGACCAAGTGAAGCCAAATGTAGTAGCATGTGTCTATACACCCAGCACTTCTATGTCAGGATGGTAGCAGAAACAGAATTCCTACGAACTTGGAGGCCGGCTAGCCTTAGGTACACAGAAGTGAGAAAAAACCCTGTCAAACAATGTAGACAGTAAAGACCAACATCCTAGGCTGTCCTCTGACCTATACACACACACTATACATACAGATACCTGCACTCATATAAATGTGTTTAACACACACTATAAGAAAGGCAGTGGTGACCTAGGCCCTCAGGCTGCTGTTGTCCAGCCATGTCCTCTGAATTGAAAGGAGGAGAGAGGCTTTAAAGATTCAGAAAGTTGGGAAAATTAGAACATATAAACAGTAAAAATTCACTGGGAGAGCAAGACCCGTCCTTGAGGCTGCCAGCTTTCATGAGCCATCACCAATGATGGAGGGGGATTCTTTTTGTAACACAGCTGCCTTTGAGACACCCATAATCCTGTAAATAGTTCTTCACCCACACTCTGGTACTTAGTCCCAATAAACTCATTAATTAACGAGGTTAGACTTGGGTGTGATTATGTCTTAGATCTGTCATTTGTGCCCTATCTGGGGTGGATAGGTATTTGTTCCTGTCTTCCCAGAAACAGTCACCTAACAGCTGCTGAGAACTGAGAAAATCCTCACACATCTGAACAGTGACGTGACCAGTCCCACCTGCCTCAATTTACACATTTGCTATTCCAGAAAGACTCCCTTCTAAGACCTCACCAACCTGGGAGTGTACAGATGATGGCGACACTTCCTGAGCATCCATTGTTTCTTCTACATAACGGGAGTGACAGCATCTTCTGGCATAGTCATTGACATCTCTGGATATCACACACAAAGACTCGGGGCACCAGAAAATGCAGGATTGGAAAATGGTAGCTTCATAACGTTTGCCCTTTCATCTACACTGTTTGTGCAGTGTGTTCTTAACATGTACTGGTACCTCTGCATGGCAAGGCCAACCACACCTTGATTAGCACAGTAACTAATGTGAGCTATACTTCCAATGAAATGTCTGTGATGGTGACAACTGAATGAAATTTTTTTCTCAATGCCTATCCAAATATCTCAGAGAAATAATGGTGTGTGTGTGTGTGTGTGTGTGTGTGTGTGTGTGTGTGTGTGTGTCCCCACCGCATTTCAAACAGGGCCTTTGTTTTATTTTAGCTTTGAATACAAGATCAGCTGTCCCAGAAGCCTCTGGGATCCTCCTGTCTCCACTCCCATCTCCTGGTGGGAGTGTTGGGATTGCAGACACTTGCCCTACATGTCTGGCTCACACATAAACTCTGAGAGTTGAACTCCAATCCTCATGCTTGCACGCCAAGCACTTTGACCCACTGAGCCATCTCCCAGCTTGTCCTTCTCACAGTTTTAAAGAACAAGGTGCCCTTCCTTAAACCATACCCTGAATTTGTTTATTGTCTCTAGGCGTTTTCTGGTAGACTCTGGCGTCTCTCACATATTATGGCATGTGTAAACAAGGCTGGTTTTCCTATCTGTATCCCTTATTTCCTTCATTTGCTTTACTGCCCCAGCTAGTGCTTTGAGCACAGTATGTAAGAGGCATGGGGACAGGGTACAGAAAGTCTGACTTAATAAAATGATTCAATTTTTATTGGACATGCTTCACACATGAACATTTTGATTGACAAATCCAAGTCAGACAAGAAAGCTCAAGTTTTAAACCCTAAAGCAATCACTCTGCTCAAAAATCTTCTTTTAAGCTGTAAGTTTGTCTCTTCCAGCGGACCGTAACTTCTTGCAGTGACAGCCATCAGTCATTTCCAGATGCCTCCTTTTAGGAAAGACGCTAAGATGCCTTCCCTTTAATTCCCATTCCAAAGCTCCATGTCAGCAACCACAATGGTAGGTGGAAAGAACACTAGATGTCACACCAGAAAATCTGTCCAAATCAAGACAGTGACATCTCATACTATATGCCCAGAGTACATAAAAATATTTCTAGCCTTGGTTTCATTATCAAAATAAAGATCCCAGTGTTTACCTTACAGTACTGTTTTCAAGACAAAATTAGATTTAAAAACATGTAGGTGTAATGTATAAATTCAAAAGTCCATACAATTTATCAGCAGCAGCAGCAGCGTCATTATCATCATCATTGATGTGCAAGGATGGTTCTTTCGTTACGCAGTGAACATTTATCAAGCATTACCATGGAGCAAACATAATTACCATGCAGTAAAGATACAAAGGCCTTAAGGACCTTTGATGCTGGGGTGAGGGGCAAAAGTACAAAGTGGGATGAAGCATGCCCTGAGGTGACAATGTGTCAGGGAGTTAGGTAGAGCGCCACAAGTAGACCGTGTGCACCATTGAGCATGGAAGTAGGGAGGAGGAGGATTCCTGAGTGGACACCAGGACCCACTTCATTTCAGATCCAGCATCAAGAAGATACACCTAAGCCATTCTTCTGGGAGGTGTTCCATGCACTTCACATCCCTAAACCCTGGCCAGCTCAAACGCGCCCCAATCCCTTCAGACAGTCTTTCTCAACCTCAGCACCACTGATACTTACTCTGCAGAGTGTGGTGTTGTAGGGAGCTACTTCATGCATCACAGAATGCTTGATGGCATCCCTGTACTCAATCACAGTAGTGCCATTCCCCCTAGCTATGACACTAACAAATGACTCCAAGTGAGAACTATGACCTTGGGATCATGAGAACCCAGTAGAGGTGCTTCCAGGAAGGATGGAATTCTTTTAGCTAGGGACCAAATACTGAACGACTGACGCAGCCTCCTGGAGCCCTTTGGCATATGATGGCATGTTCCTTCCGAGTCTCACCCAGAAGAGATGTGATTGCTTTCAAAGCCCCCATGTGAGATGCAACAATAACACTGCATCTTTTTAGACACTGTTCTGCACAGGTTGTCACTCAGATTCTCCAAGCCTCTGTTCTTAAATGCAGACAATAAATTCTCTTTTGCAAGATCACTGAAAGAATGAGATAAACAAAACATACAGTCACAGAGGTCTTGACACTCATTCCTTTGGTGCAATCAATGTGATAGGAATCATGCTGGTGACATGACTCAAATGGCCAGTGGTGCTTGCCGTGAAAGTCTCACAACATGAATTTGATCCTTGAAACCCGTATAATGGTAGAAGAGAACTAACTTCACTTCCACATGCGGCCTGTGTGCCTGCCCCCACTCTCTCCCTCTTTCCCTCCCTCTCCCTCTCCTCTCTCACACACACACTTTTTCTTAAGAAAATGAAATCTTAACAGAAGGCTCTCCCAATTCTATCCACAGAATGGAGTAGTGTAGTTGTGTAGTAAACTGTTTTTGTAATTGTGTAGAACAGTGTATCAGAAGCTGACACACTGGTTCTCTAACTCAGCCCTCACAAGCAACCATATTACTTAAGAGATCAGAGATATGCAATTTGCCAAGAACTACACAGATTAAAAATCTATTCCTTGAATTTGCAAGACTCAGCTCTGTGGTCCCACTGCCTGGGGGACACAGAGGCTTGGTTGAGTCTGAGAAAAATGTTTGCTGTACTCTGTGTTCTTTAGTTTCTTATAGACATAGATTGCAAGATCTGGAAATTTCTTCTGAAAATAATGGGAAGGGTCTCCAATTCTCTCCTTCATACTGAAAGAAAACACAAATAGTTAGCTGACTGGCCCCGGACTCTTTCTCATTCTTAGAGTATACCCTGGCAGCTCGCTGTACTTGATGCTATAGCAGGAACAATAAGGACTTCAGAGTCTGATGAATAAGATGCTTCCTGACTCTTTAATAACTGTGCAACTCAATCTTTCCAAATGTGTTTGTTCATTCATAAAAATGGTAGTAATACGGTGGGTGGTCTCATAAGGCCCTACCCCAAAATACATAGCTGTTACAGGCAATTAATGGGTGCTGAGAGACAGAGAACCAGTCTTTTCCAGGATTGAGACCCCTCTGAGAGGTTCCAATCTCAAGTGATAAGCACTAAACAAAGACACATGTGAGCAACACTAAGTGAACTCAGTATTTGTATGTATGTATGTATGTATGTATGTATGTATGTATGTATGAGGCAATTAAAGAAGGGGTCAGGAATTTGAGAAGGAGTTGAGGGGGGAAGAATTGGAAGGGGAAAGGGAAGGGCAGAAATGATGTAAATATCGTGCTTATATATAGAATTCTAAAGAATAATAAATTAAACACAATGGTAATACAATTCCTTATATATAATACCTAAATAATAGTATTAATAAAAAGAAAACATCCTGAATTGCAAGGTGCGTACAGCTCACAATTTTGATAGCACAAGATGGTTTAACTAATGTGGGGATGGGCTCAACTTTTGTAACTCTGCATTTGTTTATACAGTGGCCCTGTCTTCTACATTGCCCACACAGAAGTCAGCAACGCTGAAAAGGAGGGCGACCTCCTCCTCTTTCTCTTCCCTCTTCTCTGACAGGTCTCACTGTGCAGTTCTGGCTGGCATGGAACTTGCTGTGTATAACAGGCTAACCTTGCAGAAATCCATCTACCTCTGCCTCCCGAGTTCTGGAATTAAAGACATGTGCCACACCCCCACTCTCCAACTTGCTTTTATCAAAATAAGTGTTCCTCTTTCCATACTGACAGACGTAGAATTGGATTTTCTAATTGTTCTCCCTCCACGTATGACCACAAGAATGAAAACTACACTTACTGCTTGTTTTTGTCCTCATTGATGTGCTCTCCTATGTTCCGAATGAACTTTAGTAGGTCACCCACAGTGTTCCGATAAGGATTTCTGAGGTGTTTATAAAAATCATCCATTTCTTTCATAACAGATTTGTCGATCTAAAAAACAAAACATTGTCCCCAAGAAATGATAACAACGTGAAACAAATCCTGATGGTGTGTTAATATCAAAAGGCCAAACACAAATTTGAATAAATTCTCTCTACCAATAAACAAATCAAATGGAAACAAATGAAAGTACATGATACACACCACACACACACTATGCTACATGGGGCAGTTGTGTTGTGTTTGAATGAGGCATCATAAGTGACTGATTTCATTTAGTCTGTACTTACCAGTTTCCAAGAAATTATGCCTTTGTGGGAGTGTTGAATAGTCTAGCCACTATGAAAATCAGTACTGCAATTCCTCAAAAAATTAAAACTACATCTACCAAATGAAGCAAGCTACAACTCTGCTGGGTATTTATCCAAAGGAATCTCAGACAACATATCACAGAGATATTGCAGAATTGCTCACAGCAGCCAAGATGTGGAGCCAACCTAGGAGTTCCTCGACAGTAGCACAGGTAAGGAAAATTCGGTTTATGTACACAATGAAATATTTTTCAGCCAAAAAAAAACCAAGTTATGTCATTTGCATGAAAATTGATGCAAATAGAGATAGCCATAGCAAGCAAATTAAGTCACTCTCAGATAAATAACATGGAATTTTGCTTAGATACATAAACCCATGTATGTGTATTTGACATGAAAATAGAAGTAAAATGGCCTAGAGCAAGAGAGACTAAGGAAAGGGGGAGGGTTATGAGGGGAGGATAAAAGGGCATGGTGGAATGTGCTCAAGGTGTATCATATACTTATATAAAAATGTCTACTTTCAGCTGGGCAGTGGTGACACATGCCTTTAATCCCAGCACTTGGGAGGCAGAGGCAGAAGGATCTCAATGAGTTCAAGGCCAGCCTGGTCTACAAAGCGAGTTCCAGGACAGCCAGGACTTTTACGCAGAGAAACCCAATCTCGAAAGACGAAAAAAGAAAAGTCTCTACTTTCAAGTTTGTCCATTTCTAAAAAATTAAAGTTAGAGCTGAAATCTCATATACATGCATTCAGTACTCCATACTAAGATCAACAAAAATATACACTAAGCCAGCAGTCGCGAGTGGAGACAAGTGAAGGAAAGAAAACAAAATGAGAAGCAGTAACAAAGACGGAGAGAGGAGCAGGGGCCTGAAATAGAGAGGCTGCAGGTCTCAAAGCCCTGAAGACCATGGGTTCTGCCAGGGTGCTTTGTACATGTCCGGCATCACACAGCACCGTCTCCGCAGATATCTCTGTCTCACGGAACATGCTGTATTTCACTTTATGGTACCCTGACCCTGATGCTGACCTAAAACATAATTGGACTTGAGAAATGTTTGTAAATTTAGATTAATTAAAGTTTGGTGATATATACAAGATTGAAATGGTAATTAGTTTTATAGAGGTCCCCTAAATTCAAGTTTGGCAGAATTTGTTCTGAAGAGCAAGAATTTGAAAGATTCTCTTTTTTTTCATACTGTGTTTTCTCAACTCATTGTGGGTCCTCAGAACTGGGGCTGTTATGATAAAGCTCAAGGGGAACCTTGGCGGATTCCTCGGTAGGAAGGGGCAGGGCGACAGGTGGCTACACACAAACACGCCAGGCAGACAGAAATTTTATTAGAAAAGGAAAGGGAGGTAAGGAAAGAGAAAAGAGGTGAAGAGACACAGAGAGAGGACAGAAGAGAAGAGGGAGACAAGAAAAGTCCTGTCTCCCCAGGGGAACAGCAGGAAAAGAAAGCGTAAGTGGGCGGGGTCCTTTCTTTTAGAGGGGTCCTTTGCACTTTGTGCAAAATGCATAGCCATGGAAGCCTGGGCTGACCAGGGCACTGCCTGAGTGCATTCTGCCAGGTGACAGGGGCGGGCCAGCATAGTGCCTGAGTCCCTCCACTGTACACAGGCAGCAGAGGTGTCCAGTCTGTCTAGGCTATGGCCTCATGGTAGAGAACCTCCTCGGCTTAGGCTCTATTTAGTAAGTTGTTCTGGATATAACAGAACTTTTGGGCAGACTTGAGGACTGGAAAATGGACTAGGTTAAGGCTATCCTAAGGTAGAACTTAATAACTGTGCCTTAGGGGCTCTGGACTCGGAAAGAGGGAGCAGAAAGTCAAGAGTCAAGGGAGCTCACTTGGAGAGAAGAAAATGACCTCATTCACTTCCTGATAGCAACAGGCTGGTTTATAAAACAAATGCAAAATGGAAGCATAAACTGTTTTTTGTTTTGGTTTTTTGTTGTTGTTTAGGAAGTATAAACTGTTACACATACCCTTATTCCTAGGCCACAGAAAGTGTTCATACCTTAGATTTCCACTGATTGAAACTTCTGGAAGACTCAGGCGTCCCAGACTGCAGTCGTTTGAGAAGCTTGCTATTCTTTTTTTGGTTTTTTAATGTCAGATTCGTTACCCACATCCCGAAGCACTCTGAAGCGTCTGAGAATGGTAGAAATACCATAGTCACTATATTTTTCCAAAAAAGAGAAAACTGAGATGCTTCGAATTTTAATGAAATTTCTGCTGAGGCCACCCCGTTGCTTCAGCACTTCAAACCAGAGCACAGCAGGTTGTTACCCCTCCCAAGGACACACTGCCTGCTGTGCCATGGGAGAGGAAAGCCTGGCCTGCTGATGTCCAGCCCTGACAGCTGCCCATACCCCTTCTTCATCTCCATCTGGAAGCCCATGACACAATGGTTCTCAACCTGTGTGTCATGATCCCTTTGGGGGGGTCAAATGACCTTTCATAGGGACTGCATATCAGTCATCCAGCATAGCAGATATTTACATTACAATTCATAACAGTGGCAAAATTACAGTTATGAAGCAGCAACAAAATAACTTTATGGTTGAGGTCACCACGCCGTGAGGAACCGTATTAAAGGGTTGCAGCATTAGGAAACTTGAGATTCACTGCTGTATCACATACCCAAGTTCTACTTACTGTTCCCAAGTCCAAAAGAAAGGATGGCCAAGTAGGTCCTTCACACAGCTCTCTACATTCTTTCCGGGAGAAAACAGGCACTGAATGAGGTCCTTGGTGTCCTCATCTGGAGATTTTTCAGCCACCTCTTTATTATTTTGAGCTTTCAGTGTCTCAAAGGGGATCTCGCCTTTCTTTACCACGTAGAGGACCAGCCGTCCAAGGGCCTGCACAGAAGTCATAAATCAAACCAAAATTGCAATGTGTTACCTCTCTGTTTGGGTAATCTTGAAGGATTTGATAGTATTGTGGTCATCAATTTCATTGGACAGAGATCTGCCTGAAGATTGGTAAGGGCATCTCTGGGTGTGTCTGTGATAGCATTTATGGAGAAGATTATGATAATGTGGGCTCTGGCCTAACGGCCAATGATGGACTCAAAATTTCAGTGGATTTATGTGGAATTAGTGGGATACTAGAGGGTGGGACCTCAGGAAGAAGTGGTCCAGTAGGGGTTGTCCTGGTGGCTATACCTTGACCTATCCCTTCCAGTTAAGGTTCAGCTTTGCTTCCTGTCTATGATGAGCTGCTCTATAAGTCCTCACTTCCAGCCTGAGACTCTGATCTAAACAAATCCTTCCTCCTTCAGGTTCTCAGGGTGACACAAAAGCAGTCGGTCCAACAGTGTGGAAACGGAGATGGGAGGGGTTTCAAGGAACCTGTGGGCTGTACCCTGTGGGCCTGTGGTGTCCTGTTAATACTCTGGACTCGGAATCTGCAGGATTCTAGTGAGAAAGGCAAAGGTCCGTCCACAACTATCTCTTCAAGGCCACACAGTAGGCTCTTCAGGGCCACACGTGAGCCACACAGTAGGCTCTTCAGGGCCACACATGCTGTTATGGTAAAGAGCGAGGGGGACCTTCGCAGATTCCATGGCAGGACAGGGTGACCAAGGTGAGGAGACAAACACGCTAGGCAGACAGCTTAAGTGAGATGTTCTATTAGACGGGGAAAGGGCGGGGGGAGGAGAGAGAAAAGAGGTGAAGAGACAGAGAGAGGACAGAAGAGAAGAGGGAGACAAGAAAAGTCCTGTCTGCCCAGGGGAACAGCGGGAAAGGGAGAGAAAAAGAGATGGTAAGTGGGCAGAGGTCTGTCTTTTAAAGGGGTCCTTTGCACCTGCGTTCAGACTGCGCAATCATGGAACCTGGGCTGACCAGGGTACTGCCTGAGTGCATTCTGCCAGGTGACAGGGGGGAGGCCAGCATAGTGCCTGAATCCTTACACATGACCTACACAGTAGGCTCTTCAAGGCTACACATGGCCTACATAGTTTAGGCTTCTGAAGGACCATCCTGGTCCAGAGTTGATGGGACAGGCTTGTTGGCAGCAGGATTCTACCTGGGTCTTGAATGTTCTGCTAGAATGTAGGTAAATCAAGAAAGGGAGGAGTCTAAAGGAAGGGGACACCTTAGAACAAGCTGGGAACTGGACCCAGTGCTACGTGAGGAAGCAGATAATAGAGTCATTCCCGATCAGGTGGGACACAGTGCTAGCCCAGGGAACTAGGCTTTGGTAGAAGAGAGAAGCAGGCAGTGGTCAGCACAAGAGAGAGTTACACAGATTGGGGGGGGGGGGGGGGTAGACACTGAACTCAGAAACCACCAAACCCAGAACCAAAACTATTGCCCATTGACTGCTATCCAGGAGAGAACTGTGCAGCCATGTCTAAATAAGCCAGGCAGCATCAGTACACAGGGCATGGCTCCGTGTCGAGGAGGCTTCTGCTGAGCTGTGTCCTTGGAGCTGAAGGCTGACCCCAATCTCCCCAGAACTGTCTGGAGCCACCATTTCTGGCTTTCTTTGGTACTCAGCACGTAAGTTCGAATACAGTTGGGAAGAAACTTCATTTGCCTTGTCCTTAGGCAGAAAACTATTTGCAGAAGAAACCTTTGAGTTACTCAGAAATGCTTCCTAGAAGTCTTTGAAGAAGAGACACCCTCCGTTTACTTATTTAGCTGGTGGAAGAAGAAGGGAACAGTTAGAGATAAAGAAAGGGACCACAGTGAAAAGCAACTCCACACCAACTCAGTTATTTCACCTTCTCCTCTGCCCAGTGAAAGTTCTCCTGCAGGAGAAACACCCAGAAATAACACTGTATGCAAGGTAGTTGTTGGCATTTCAGTCGGATCAGGATGGAACAGGAGTGGGTCAGGTATTCTGGCACTAGGGAGTCACAGAATACTGAGTGTTACACAGCTCAGGTGGAAAGGTATCCTGGAGCTCGGGAACCAAGGACCAGCTTACAGCCTTGCCTCAGAGAAAAGCTTCCCCAGTGTATTGACTCTGGAGAGCAGGGAGCAGAGTGTAACAACTCCCCTCTGCCAAGGGAAGGTTTCCCGGGCAAGTGTTACAGCCCTGCTCTCTCTGCTCTGCTCTGCCCAGGGTCGCCTCTGTTCCGTTGCCGCCGCAAAAGAAGATCTTCACCCAAAGCTCATCCAAGGGGTTTATTGGGAGGGAAGGATCCAGGAGAGTGGCTGCCCTCTGCCAGAGTGGCAGAGGACAGCTGGGTAGCACGAACAGACACAAGCTGAACAGACGCTGGGTTTATATAGGGCTTCCAGGGTGGGGATTGGTCAGATTTTAGTGCTGAGCTCAGATTGGCTATAGCTCTGCTGGAGGATTGGTTAGTTTTCTGCACAGGATTAGGGTCAGATTTGGCTCTGGTTTCAGGGCCAAAGTGTGTTTCTTTCTCTGGTCCTTTTTAGCCTTTTGGCTCCAATTTTAGGGCCAGGGTGCATTTCTTTCACTGATTCTGATTCCAGGGACAAAGTGTGTTCTTTTGGCACTGGTTTCAGGGTCAGGGTACATTTCTTTGTTTCTGGTTGCAGGGCCAAAGTGTGTTTCTTTGACTGGACCCTTTTCCCTACAGTAGTGAGGACAGTGGACCAGGTGGACGGAAGCTGTGGTAAGCCTTCCCTTCCGTGTTAAAATAAGAAGTTCTCTACCTGGCACTACAAAGTGGGGTAATGAACAAATAAGGAAGCAGAGAAAAGAAAAGTTAACTAGGCCACAGAAATTACCTCCAAGTCTCTCTTGATGTACAGTGGATCTCCCATGCCTTGGATGCTCTGATCAAAATCTGCCAGGTAAACAGCTTCCTTGGAATCTAAGGGACAGTTTCAGAGATGCATAAAAAACACTCTCTGTAGTCAAACCATTTAAATACATATGTAACACGTTATACAATCTATCATCTCTGAAGATCAATAAGAATACTATTCACTCATGTCCAGCCTTGTTTGATCTATTAGGTACCTGTCAAGAGCAGGACACACATTTTATTCTTTACAGGACAGAGAGTAGGAAAAGATGAGGGTGAGGTTCACCAGCTGTCCACTTACACAGCTCCTGGGGCACAGCACAGTAAAGGGTCTGCTGGCCATAGCTAAGATTACATCCTATGGCTAACTAGCCGCTACCCAACAAGGTTCTGAGTCTGACAGTGTCTTCGAATCACTTTCCATTCAGTTAAGTCCACCAGCCCCAAGCAGCTCCAGTACTTTAGACCACCATCATGGGCCAGAAATGTGTTGGCTCTGAGCTACAGTTCCCTGCCCCTTTCAGGCTCTTCTTCCTTCTTGAAAAAGCCACTGAGTTCCAATAAAGGGGGATGAAAGAATAATAGAAGTTGGGAGACAGATCTAAAGATGAGTAAGTCAGGGACTTAGCCCTCAAGAGCTGATCCCCGCTATCTCCATGATGATTAGAAATAAATCTTCATTACTTACAAATCTCTTATTTTTGGAGGTTCTATCCCAGCCACACATAAGAAATTACCACAAAGCCTTACCTATTAGGATGTTTTGTGGCTGCAGATCCTGGTGGGCATATCCTTGCAAGTGTAGTCTTTGAACAGCCTTAAAAACAGACAATAGCACATTGCGGGCAAACATATCTTCACTGTTCTCCATGGGTTCCTCTCTGTGCTCACCCAGGAACTCTTCCAATGTCCACTCACACAGGGACTCACACACATAAAAACAATCCTTGCTGATCTCGCTTCCATAGAAAGTTACGAAGTTACTGTGGCCAAGGCAGCTCTGCAGACAGGAGACTTCGTTTCGTGCACGTGTGCTGTCCTCAGGGAAGACCTTCACAGCCGCCTCTCGATTGTCGTAGAACCCCAAGTAGACGGCCCCTTCAGAAGTGCTAGCAATTTTAAATTCATCTTCCAGAAAGATCTTGAGTTTGCCAATCATGGGTCGAGGCATACTGTGGAGTTTCTTCAAGGGTTTCCCCCAACGTGAACTGTGAAGCAAACAGTTTTCATCAGGAGGACCAGTTCGATCCTTAGCTCCATGACTTAGAAGAAACTCTACGAGGGAAGAGTTATAATTTCGCCTGGCTATCTCAACAAGATCCCCATACTCGGTACTGGCTCCCTTATCACACAGTAACTGAACTATTTCATTCAGGTTGTGCTCAACAGCAAATTGCAGGGCTGTCTTGCCCTGGCTATCTCTGTCGTCGATGTTTATTCCCCCCTGACTCAGTATCATCTGCACCAAACCTGTGTGTTTTTGCTTTTCCACTGCCAAGATCAAAGGTGTCTTCCCTCCCTCTCCTCTCACGCTAGCATCAGCCCCATGTTGGAGCAGAAGATGAATGATCTCCTCCACGTTTTTACCCTCTGGGTTCCGCAGAGTACAGATCAAGGCATTTCTGCCCTTATTGTCCCGGGCATTGACTTCCGCCCCCATGTCATTGAGGAGAATACTCAAGACTTCTGTGTGGCCTTTCTCAGCAGCACTCATAAGAGCCGTGGCCCCTCCTTTCTTCATTCGCTTTTTGTCCTCTGTTGTCTCTCGCCTCAGATTCACATTGGCTCCATTATCAAAAAGGAATCTTAAGGCCTCAACCTTGCCATGCTCAGCAGCTTCCATGAACGCTGTGAAGCCATTCCAGTCACACTCATTGATATCTGCTCCTTTGGAGAGGAATGTCTGGAGCAGGCTTACATCTCCATTGATCCCAGCGATGATGAAGGGAGTGGCCCCGTTCTTCTTCCTCTGATGAGGGTCAGCTCCATGATGGAGCAGGAGATCAACAATGTCTACCTTGCCAAGCTGCACTGCATTGTGCAAAGGTGCCCAGCCCCCCATATCTTCACAGGCATTGACATCAGCCCCTCTTTGCAGCAACTGCTCAATCCTGTCAACATTCCCCTCTTTCACAGCATCAATCAACGAACCACCATCTTCCCCAGTGGTTCTCTGACTACTTGAGGTTGTGGATCCATCCTGGGGTGTGTCATGATGGTTGTTCTCCATGATAGTCGATTCCAATGCCTAGAACTCTTAGCCTTTTCCGTGAGGAACGAACTCTTGTTTCTTTGGGATGAAAGGAGAGTCTTGGGTATAAACTGGGTTTGTGTGTTCTGTCTTCTGATGCCCCCTCTGTAGACAAGTGAAGAGGCGATTTTGTTATTTCAGACAAGGAAAATTCAGCTGACTCAGAACTCTGCTTTATCCATAGGAAGCCTTCGCTAAACATATTTACTTGCTTAATTGGGAATTTGTAGACTATTGTGAATATATGTCAATTAAAATGAGGAAATTATTACTCCACAGTCTCACGCCCCCAAAGCAACTGCTACCAATATTTAGTATATGTGTATAGTGTTAAGTTTCAAACCCAGGACAAATTGCTGAGGTGCCTAGTTAACACGTCAAAGCAGACCTGGCTACCAGGTTCTCCCAGCATCCCTCAGTTACCACCTGCTACAGGATATGGCTGGCAGACTCGGCAGTCTACCATGGTTACCCAAAATGCTCTTCCCCATATAATCTAGATTTTGGTTACCTGTCCCTTTTGTATCTTTAAACCTCCTGGCTGCTGCTCCTGGTTTTCTTCTCTCCCTTCCGCTCCCCCTCTCCCCACATGATCCAGCTCAGTCTAGTCATGTCCACTCTGGACTCTCCCAGATGTCCCTGCCTCTCCTGATCTCTGCTCTCCCTTTTATCTGCAATAAACTTTCGCCTCCGCCACACCTAGCAGCAGTGGTGGCCTCTCCTTGTCCTTTTCTTGTTTTCATTCCCACTGATTTATTTGCAAGCTGGGTAAGACTATGCTTAGTGACTCTGCACTTTCATGTTTACTTCAATGTTCTAATCTTCAATATTTTGATATTCGAAATGATATTTTAAAAGCTAAACACTGGCCGGGCGGTGGTGGCGCATGCCTTTAATCCCAGCACTCAGGAGGCAGAGGCAGGCGGGATCTCTGTGAGTTCGAGGCCAGGCTGGACCGACAGCCTCCAAAACAATACAGAGAAACCCTGTCTCGCAAAACAAAACAAAACAAAAAAACAAAAACAAAAAACAAAAAAAACTGCCGGGCAGTGGTGGCACATGCCTTTAATCCTGCACTCAGGAAGCTGAGGCAGGTGAATCTCTGTGAGTGTGAGGTCAGCCTAGTCTACAGAGTGAGTTCCAGGACAGAATCCATAGCTACACAGAGAAACCCTGTCTCAAAAACAAAACAAAGAAGCAAACAAAATACACAAAAATTGAACAGTTCAAAACAATTCTGAATAGTGTGGTAGAAAATTGAGCTAATTTTATCTTGTTTTCCTATCACAGATTTCTTGTAATAGACGTCCTAACGTTTCATGACTAGTCCTGAAAACTAACTCCTTTTTCAATATTCTATAAACGTACTTACCTAGCCTTGGCGGCTTCTGGGGGTGGGGAGGGCACAAGCAAGCTCTTTAAGAAGAAGAGTGCATCTCTTTGAGTTTGTCCATCTGAGTTTCTTTATCCCTGGTGAGGCTGGTCACCCCACACTCGCTGCTGAGTTCTCCACATCTGTCCTCTTCATATCCCTGCGCGTTTTTATTGAAGTAGTCGTGGAAAAATGTGAATCATGAGCTCAGCTTTGAGTTTCTGGGTGTGCAATTTTTGACTTTCACTTCCTGACTGAACACTCCTAAACTGCTGATTTATAATATCGTTCTCTCAGCAGAGGACAGCAATAAACAGGGCCGTAGGAGACAGCATTGGGGAGTGCCGCCAATACAGGGCATTGGATGAATGGCAGAGTTTACTATACTTCCTTGTGCATATTTTTCTTTGTAACAAACCCTCTTCTCCTGATGATGGACACTTCCTTCGGGAGTGTCATTCAGGCCGGTGGCCTCACAGTCTAGGGCTAGATCCAGTTCAGCCATAGGCCAGCCCTTGTTAGCCTGAACATCTAAACAGCTGTGTCTGCTACAAAATATACAAAGCATTTGAGATCTGCATATGCAGTATAATCTGAATACCACGCGAGTCTTTGACCAAAGCATTTTTGCAGCCGGTGCTGACTTACAACTGCCTCTGAGGTGGTCTGAGGAGGAAAACCCAGTCTAGAATGGAAAGCGCTCCCCCCATCTCACCCCCCCATCCCATCCCGGAAGTAAAGGAATCTGTTTTCACTTTCGTTTCCTCCTCTTTAGTTCCGGAGCTGCCCCAGAAGCAGAGCCCATAAATAAACAGTGTGTGGACAGTGGCAACCTTAGGAGGGAGGGCTCGGGATCACAGCGCTGCTGCGCAAATCCTCCAGGCTTTCAAAATCATCCCCCTCCCCAAACCCAGTCCAAGAGATTAGGCAAGCCACGACGCCTCAGCCACCGCCAGCTCTCCTCCAGCGCCCCTTACCTTCCAAACAGTCTCCTCAGCGATCGTTCTTTTGGCAGCAACAATCCTTTAAGACCACCCCCCTAGAGAAAACATTTCCTTGTGGCACGTCACTGAGCCATCAGGGTGGAGCCAAGAAAGAAGTGAGGAAACGGAAGAACAGAAGGTGTGTGCACAGTGCACACTCAGGCGGAGCAATCTTCACCCCCTGAAAGAAAACAAAGGCTCTACCCTGAGCACGAGGGGGGGGACAGATTTGATAGGCATCAAGGCTCTAGCCTTTCAGGTTATAGGACCCAACTTGACTAATCGCTCTTGTATCTTCTGTTGTCACAAATCCCTCGTGTTCCTGGAGGGAAACATGAAAATAAACACATAACCCATCATGCAGCCAGTGCAGTGCAGGGCAGGAAGAGAGTCTGTTGCCAGAGACGACTGGTAGCGCTTGGGATGCAGGGGCTTACTACACAAAGCTGAAGTTCTGCATGGATGGAGCTTGCTCCTTAATGGGAACAGAGAAATTACAAGCAGTCTTGCGGGAGTAGAGGAGGAATATTGTGTGTGTTTGGGCAGGCTGCTGGAGATCAGAAGACAGCCTGTGGTGTGGGTTCTCTCCTTCCATTTGCACGTGAATTCCGGTGCTCAAAATCAGGTTAGAAGGCTTGTCTAGCAAGCAACTTTACCGGAGGTGCCATTTTTTCAGCTCCATAAATAAGTGTTTGTTTGTTTGTTTGTTTGTTTTAATAGCATATACTAGGATATCCTGATATGATGGAGTTCCTGGCAGTTCCTTTTTCTTTTCTTTTCTTTCTTTCTTTCTTTTTTTTCTTTTTTTGTTTTTCGAGACAGGGTTTCTCTGTACTGTTTTGGAGACTGTCCTGGAACTCACTCTGTAGACTAGACTGGCCTTGAACTCACAGAGATCCTCCTGCCTCTGCCACCTGAGTGCTGGGATTAAAGGCATGAGCCACCAACGCCCAGCCGGCAGTCCCTTTTTCTTTAGGCTTCATGGCTGCTGTGTTGTTCTAGAGCCTCAATACATTCGCTGTCCAATCTGTCTTTGTGTGTGCTATATTGCTATCTGAACAGATAATAAATAGTCACAAGGATTCTGATGGTGCTGGTAGTAATGTGGTGGTGGTTGAGGTGTTGGTGGTGATGGTGGTGGTGGTTGAGGTGTTGGTGGTGGTGTTTGTTAATGTTTGTGCAGTGGTAATTATGCTAATGACAGAAAACAATTGCATAGCTCTTGAGTGTACTTCAGGAACTGTTCTGAGCACTTCACAGATACTAACTCAGAGAAGCAAATCTTCTTGTGGTAACTACTGTTTTTCACCCCATTTTACATATAGGAAACCAAGGCATAAAGTGATTAAGTAGCTTGCTGTGTTCTGGAGACTAGGCTACATCACAGAGGACACATCTACCTTCATTGTCACAGAAGCCAGACAGGGAAGAAAATCAATTCAGTCATGTAGTGTGGAAAACCCACAGGGAAAAAGAATGTAGATGTGGGAGGTTTTACATCCTGGAGGCACAGGACGGTCAATAATACATTTGCCTTGTAAGCACAGGACCTGAATTCAATGCCTGGAACTCATACAGAAAAGAAAGGAGACACAGCGGTGCAATCCCAAGAGCCTGAGTAATAAAGAATGGGTCGTGGTGGTGCGTTTACAACCCCACTGCTGGGGAGGCACAGACAAGGCGTCCTCAGGGCTTCCAACAGCCAACATGGTCTACTTGGTATGCTCTAAGCCAATGAGGGGTGGACAGTACCTCAAGAATGCTAAGTGAGGTTATCTACTGGCCTACACACACACACACACACACTCACACACACACTACTCACACACACTCACACATTTACTCATACTCACATAGTCACGCTCACACTCACACACACATACTCATACACACTAAACACACACACTACTCACACACACTACTCACACACACTCACTCACACACTCACACACACACTCGCACACTTACTCACACTCACAGAGTCACAGTCACACACATACTCATACACACTAAACACACACACTCACTCACACACTACTCACACTCACTCACACATTTACTCACACTACTCACACTCACTCACACACACACACACCAGGATGGGAGTCTCCACAGGGTGACGGGGAAGGAGGAGGCAGCTTTGTTCAGATGGTAACATTTGAGCAAAGACTGGGAGATGAGGCTGAGGAACCAAAAATTAAAACTAATAAAAGTTTAAAAACTTAGGCCCTGAAAAGGAACTTCTAATGACTGGGAATGCTGTGCCTGGTGCCTGAGCCCTGCTCTCAGAGAAAGGGAGGTGACTCTCCACCACTCGGGTCAACATTCCTGTCTGCTAATTGCTGTTTGTAAGGTTGTAAAGATCCCCAGGCCAGGGGATAACGGACAGACCCTGTGACTCTGTAAATCTGTAACCCTGTGCCCTGTCTTACCTTAAAATACATAGTTACTGCTTTACTCTGTACTTTGTATGACCTTATGTAACCATGGGAACTCTAAAATTTGTGCCCTTCAACCTGATGGTCTGCCCCTTTGAAACTTCTCTTTATGACTGGTTGGGGTCTCATTTCCCCCGCCATGGACTGCGATCCAAGCTGGCCAGCTTGAACAATAAAAAGAAACCTTTTGCTCTTGCATCAGAAGTGCCGACTCAGCCGGGCGGTGATGGCGCACGCCTTTAATCCCAGCACTCGGGAGGCAGAGGCAGGCGGATCTCTGTGAGTTCGAGGCCGGGCTGGACCGATAGCCTCCAAAACAATACAGAGAAACCCTGTCTCGTAAAAACCAAAAAAAAAAAAAAAAAAAAGAAGTGCCGACTCCTTGGGTTGGTCTCTGGGCTCCGCGAACCTGGCACTACAGAGGCAAAAGCACACTGCACAAAAGCCTCAGTAGGGGCTGTGGGTACAACGGCCCAGAGGCAGAAGGACTTCAGGTGTCATTGAGGAGCAGCTTAGAGAGCAGTGAAGCTGGGGTAAGAGGGAACAGGAAGTGGAGTTTCAAGACTGGTCGGAATCGCCTGCCCCTGTAAGGACTTTGGATCCCACCCAGTGCGAGACGGCCACCAAAACCGGCAAGTTGGGAAAGGCTAAACTCTGTTTGCACTTCAGGTGCCTCTGTGGTAATAAACCGCAACCAAACTTAATCCGTAACTACAGAAAGCTCGTGCCAGGCTTCGGTTTCAGGTGGCTGACAGATCAGTCTGTCACTATGCCTCATTTTCACTCCGTGCACAGTGTGATAAGACACGGATTAAAGTCAACCTGGAGAGAAAGGGTTTATTGGGTTTGCAGGTTGACAGGACAAAAATAAATAGATAGATAGATAGATAAATAAAACCTGGTGAAGTGGGTACCTTTTGGCAGATCCTGCCAACGTATGCCCCTAAGAGAACATGCCACACATAATAGAGTTAGTGTAAGGGGCTTACTGGGGGCAGGCCTTCTTGGAGTGGGGACATGCGAGAGGCAGACAGACAGACGATGGAGAAAACAGACAAGAGAGGCAAGGGACAAGAGCGGTGATGACATTTGTAAGAGGTGTGCCTGTTGCACAGCTGAGAGTGGAAAGGCGCCAGGCCGTAGGTGGCAATGTAACCCCTCAGTGGCGATGTAACCCCTCGGTGGGGATGTAACCCCCTGGGTGGCAGGTGGTCACAGCAACAGTGGCATCTTGTTTAACCAGTGGACCGCATCCTAAGGGTGTGGCTTCAGGTGTGCAGATGTGACCTCGTATAAGGAAGAGGAGGGGTTGGCTCGCTCTCTTGGGCAGCAGTGGGAACTCCCAAAGGGTAGAGACCGCATCTTCAGGAGCAGGAAGACCTGGGCAGGTTATTTACTATTAATTGTGTAAGTGCTTCCCTAACAGATACCTGTTTATCTTGGATCTTGTGGACTCACTTAAACCCTGCCTTCAGGGAACTAGCGGGTTATATACTCCATCATCAAGGGAAGCCAGAGCAGAACTCAAGGCAGGGGCCTGGAGGCAGGAACTGATGCAGCGACCATGGGGATGTTCACAGACGTGTTCCCCCTGGCCTGCTCAGCTTGTTTTCCTTGTGCAACCCAGAACCCCGGCGGCGGCTTGGCTTAGAGGTGGCACCACCCACATTAGTCATAAATCAAGAAAATGCCCCACAGCCATGCTAACAGGCCAAATCTAATGGACAAAAACTAACCAGCTGTCTGGCCATGGCTCTGGGCTGGCGTTGTAAAACTGTTCTGGTTTTGACTGCCACCTGATCCACAAGTCATTTACGATTCTGCTGAGCGTTGCTAAATGGAGTGTCTAAAGTGCTTCCTGTAACAGAGACTGTTAGGGTAATCCAGCCAGTGTCCGCCCCGAGCAGGGCGGGACGTAGCAGTAGCTGAGCATATGATATGAGGAAGACTCCTGGGGAACGATGATTCTTCTCACCCACCACAGTCTGTGTGCGCCCAGGAAGCTTGCCTGTCGTGAGCCGTGTTGGAAGAACTCAGCCCAGAGGAAATCCTGGGTTTGATTGCATGATCCTGGCAGGGTTGGGGCTGTCTCGGGTGATCTGGGGTACAAGGGAATAAAGATCCATGCGCAACTGGAAGCGGGAGAAATGTCTTGATGGCTGCCTTTGTTTTCTAGGAACTAGACCGAACAAAGGGGAGCTAGATTGACAGCAGTCACTCGGGTTAGCCAGCAGAGGGCGGCGTTCAGCTCTTTTTGTGGTGACAGGGAATCTTGCCTGTCTGGTGTTTGGTCTCACATTACCAGTTCCCGTGATTTTGTCTTGTTCCCCCACAGTCATGGGATGACTTCTCTAATTGCTGCTGACGTTCGGTGGGGATGTTTATGTCTGGGGAAGCACCATATACAGCCGCTGAGCGGAGAGCTGCCAGGGCCGTTTTGCTCACGTATGTGTTTCCTCTCGTTTTTAGAATTGAGCCACGATAGATACATTGGAAAATAAGTTCCACTTGCGAAAGAATCCAGCTATTCTGAATGAATCATTTTGGAACTTCTTCCCAGAAAACAGGTTTTGTTTGTTTTATCTTTTTTGTTTGTTTGGGGTTTTGTGTTTTTGTTTTGCTTTTGGCTTTTCAAGACAGAAGAGTTTTAAGCAACCCAGACCAAACCTCAGAGCAGTTGCAGGTCTAAGGCTGGCACACTGATTTGTTACTTTTTTTTATGATTTCCAAACCCCAATTCTAAAAATTATTTGAGGCCACTTAGAAAGCACACAGATAATAAAACTCTGTATGATTAACACATGAATCAGAGACCCTGTGAGTAACAGAGGAGAGCCAACATCCGATTCCAATAGGAAACTCGACCCTGGATCAAAGCCAGGGCAGAGAGCTAAAGTGACCCTTGTGAGGAAAACACAATAATTTATTAGCCGTCACATCACATGAGCTCAGAAGAGTGGCACTTGGCACCAGCTGCCCGCCGTGGGGAAGGGTCCGTGTTGAGACAGAGAAGCATGGAGAAGGCTCCGTGTTGCAGGACGTCCCCAGGACCATCTTGAACCAAGAAACACGAGGAGGAGGAGATGACCCGGGAGACAGACTAGGATCACCTTCTGGCAGAAGAGATCCGTCCATTCACAGGCCCCAGTCCCTGCGTGGGCTTTAAACTCTGGAGAAGGAATCATTTACCAAGAGTAGAGAGCAGGCCCAGGAGCCAGTGGGAAGCCTGAAGTAGAGACATGGAGACAAAATGCAAGCCCAGGTAAATGTAAGGACATGTCCCCAGCAAGTGTAAGGACATACCACCACCTCCTCCCACCCCTGACTGGTTTCCCACACGCAAAATGCAAAGCTGTGTTTGCCTCCATCCTTCCTTTGACCAAAAAGAACCTGGACTGCAGGGCTTGCCTCTGAGCTCCCTTCCAGACATGCACTTCGCTCCCCAAAGCCTTCTGGGATCTTGGGCGGAAGACAGTGGGGTAAGATCAACTGAGCACTGACAGTCCCCCATCAGTAATGGTCTGGCCTGGCTTGTTACACAGCAATAGCTAACTGCTACTTGATACCTCTTTACCTCTGATGGACTCCCTTAAACTTTCTGGGCCTCAGCTTCTGTATTTTTAATGTTATAGGATTCACTGGAGGATTACAGAAATTAACATATGTAAACTAGTTAGAGCAGTGTCTGCCACATACAAGTATTTGCTGTTTTTCCAGCATGCCACCAAGCTGTTTGTTACATGCTTTTCATACATCTCCCATCATCACGAAAGCTCTTTGAAGCCAGTGCTATTTATAGTCACATTTTATAATACGAAGTGAGAGTCTAAGAAATGGAGCGATATACTGATTAGCCACAGACATGAGATTAGTTAGTTGTGTAACTTTTGTCATTGAAACAAGATGTCCCAGTAGCGGCTGCCCTGGGAGTGGCAGGGTAGAATTAACTAAAATGGGAACCTCTTACTTACATGGAAATGCACTGTAAATCTTTAAAACTCCACACATTCTTGCTTTACTTAACGTCTAAGTCGTGCCTGAACTAGTGACTGTGGGCATTTAGTCTCAGTTGTCACCTTGAGTGGATCTGGTATTAGCACAGAGACAGACGAGCCTCTGGTGGGTCTGGGAGAGTGTTTCCTGGAAGGGTTAACTGAAGACCCTCCCCTGGAGTGGGCAGCGTCTTCTAGCTGCTGCCAAGACATGAGAGGTCTGACTGAAGGAAAGGATGCAAGCTTTGCCCACCTAACTTTGCTTCCTACAGGTGAGGGCATCTACCCTGGGGCATAGCGCCTAACCCCCTGGCATTTCTCACCCTTAGGACCGGACTCAGGTGTTTAACGCCAGGCTTTCTTTTCTTCTCCAAAGCGGTTTGGATACCGGGACCAATTGCTAGCACTCCACTCACATCGAATCGGCACGTCATGGTCCCTGGACACCCGAACAGTCTCTTACCCAAGACCTTCCAGATTAAGTTCAATTTTAGTCCTAAAGGAACTAAGGAAATCTTGGCTTAACTCCTACAAACACACTGTGTTAATAATTCTGATTTCACCCAAATTTCATATGTTCACCAAGATGAATTAATGAACCAAACAAATTCTAGTCATTATATAGAATTCCACAGGAAAAAGCAAACTTTATAAAACAGTAGAGAGGTAGTTCAGCAGTTAGAAGTACATCTACTCTTCCAGAGGATCCAAGTAGGGTTCGAGCACCCACACTGAGTGGCTCACAGCCACCTATAATCACAACTCCAAGGCTCATACTTCTCTGGCCTCTTCAGGCACCTGCATTCACAGGCACATAGCCACACACATGTACACATAATTGTGTATGTATTAACTACAGAACTCAGACGAGCCTAAGAAAAACCATAGCCATGGCCACAGGGGGGCAGCAGAAGGTAAAATATGAGCTGGCCTTCCTCTGTCATGGAAATGCCATTCTGTTGCATTGTTCTGGCTGACTTTTGAGTGGAGGCTGCATTATCTGTGACATGCTGAGTTAAATAATGCCTACCACCTTATATTTTCTCATCTGGGGTTCTGGAATTCTCCAAGCAGCAGACAAAATATATAGAAAACTAGGGATGAGGACATGCATTAAATCAGGAATCTGTAGTCTGGCAAAGGGAGCTGATGACCCTTGGCAACATTAAGGAGCGATTGTCTTTTTATTTGTACAAACATCGACAGCAGTAGAAAATGGAGACCCAGGGCCTCGTGGCTAACAAGATGTCCCAGTCCCAGCAGGGGAAGGAGCTTGCTGCCACCACTGACCTGAGTTCAACCGACAGAACCCCACTGGTAGATGCTAAGAACCAACTCCTGTAAATTGTCCTCTGACCTCCACTTGCATACTTTGAGCACTCCTGTCCTCCCTCCATCCTTGGTCCTGGTCCTTTCTGCCCGTCTCACGCAGACAGATGGATCCACGGCTGCCCACACGTTCCTCCCTCAGAAATCAGTACAGTTGTTGTCTGGGTTACATGAGGTCAAGACCTGCCTGAGTGTTCGTTCGTTCGTTTTCCAAGTCAGGTTTCTCTGTGTAACAGCCCTGACTGTCCTGGAGCTCGCTCTGTAAGCCAGGCTGGCCTTGAACTCAGAAACATCCACCTGCCTCTGCTTCCCAAGTGCTGGCATTAAAGGTGTGAGCCACCACTTTGTTCCCATGTTCTTGCCTAGGCCCTCAATGTCAGAATCCCTTCTGCTGTCACCCAAGAACCCTGGATCTAGATGTAGGGTGTAAGTCTAAGGGGTATTTGAGCTCTGATCACCCTGAGAGCTTAGGGAGAGATGAAGGCCAACAGGATGTCGGATATATAGCTGTGTATAAACAGTTAACTATAACATCACATGAAAATATTTCTTCTTTTGAATCCGGATCTCACTATGTAATTTAGGCTATTCTCACACTCCATCCTCCCAAAAGCTGGGATTACAGGCATTCTCGACTGTGTGACTGGCAGGATCATCTTTTCAGGGGCTGACAACAGGAAACAAAGAGCAAGGATTTCCGGAATGAGGTGACCTGGAAGGCAGTGGCCAGAAGAGGCAGGCCTGGTCCTTGCAGACTGCCCCCGAAAAGCTCAACCCTTGCATGCCTTCAGCAACGCTCCCCATCATGTACCCCCAACCTACAGAATCCCCAGAGGTCTGTGACATCACCCCCCCCATACTCCCTTGGGTCACCTTATCAACCATATGGTCCTTGGAAGCAGGATGGTATACTGGTGTTTTATTTTCATTTCTTACAAGAATATAACACACTCAAACAGAAAAACAGGGGTTGCATACATCACTGATAAAGGAACCCAGCTCCCTTTGTTAACAATAAATAAATATTAAAACAGTGGGGTGTTCCCCCAACAGCCCTCAGTGGTCTCAAGGCTTGCAGAGGTAGAGTCCCGTGAGGGAGGAGGCCCAGCCGGGCAAGCAGCTCCTGCTGAGTTTCTCCAGTAGAGGCAAACAAACCACAATAAATAACAACAGCGACAATAGCTGAGACAATCAGCACAACACAATGTAACAATATATTAGACTTAAATAAGTTTCTCCTGGAGAAGCCTCAAGTGCAGAGAGAACAATGTTGGCAACCTGGGTCTCCACTGCCATGCTGGTCTCTGGTGCGGGAAGTCCCGACTTGGAAGGTTTGTCCAGTAAGACCCAGAGGTGGTAAGCGGGTTCATTCCCCCCGCCCCCACCCTTCCAAGCAGCCCGATACTCCCTGGCTGCACTTCCAGCTTCGCATCCAGAGCTACCCTATGGTGGTCCCTGGCCTACCTCTCCCCTAACTGCAGTGGGCATCTCCTGTCTACAGGAAAACACAAGGCTCCCCGTCCACCAGGGGGCGTCTCTTGATCCCAGTCTCCTGTCCACCAAGAGAACTGATTTGATTTCAGCTGGCCGGTTAGGCTCCTCCCACAGATGGATTTCCTGTGGCTCTTTCTCCCTCACTCAGTTCCTGGACATGCGTGCCTGAGGCCTCCTTCCGGCCACCTCCCTCCCCTCAGACCTCAGCCTCCAAGGCCTTGCAGGGCTCAGGAAGGCCTCCCTCCCAGTTAGCCCTGTTCACAGGGGACCCTGCTGCAAATGTTGAGGACAGGGGGCCACCGACAAAAGGCCACCAAGAGCACCCAGTCTAGTCACACGAGCAAAGTGGCTTCTTTTTCAGGGTTACTGCTGACCTGGAAAGGGGCTCACAGGCCAGCTTTTGAGGTATAAAAATCTCATTTGGGGCAAGAATCATATTGGGCTCGTTGACCCCCATGAGAATGAACACAGGCATGGTAAGAAGCCTAAGCTAGGGAACCCCTGGTATCTCTGGGAAGGCGCGCACAGAAGAGGAAGGTTCCGCATTCAGTTTTTTCTAGGCCCAGGCCAGGAAGGAGGAAATCAAGGTATGACCAAAGCCAACTGTCTTGCCGGCTGCTATGGTTCTCTCCAGGTCCATTTCTCAAGGTTCCCGACCACCCAGCATTCCTCTGTGCCCTGGTAGGATGAGCATAACTGCTGGGCCACCAGTCCTTCCCCGGAGACCCCACACAGCCCCCTTGTCAGTCGTCAGCCAGGGGTCCTGGATTCGAGGAGCCTCTCCTACACGGAGCCCACCACAGTATCTGGGGGAGGGGGGAGTCCTTCACACCCAGGATGCGGGAACGCGCGCGCGTCCCTTCACTGTCCTCTCGCACTTGCTGGGCAGAGCCTGCCTCCCACACAGGGCCGCTGCTTCAGGGACGGGCGACTCCACCTCTCTTCCTGCTGGCGTCTTCGCTGCTGTGGAAGCTCAAGTGTGTGAGGGTTCGTCGGGGCTGCAGCTGCATGAGGAACAGGTGGAGGAGGCGGCTGAGGCTTGGGCAGCCAGGTCCCGGTAGGCAGGCGACTTGAGGAAGCGCGGGTAGGAGTCCTTCTCCATCAGGGTGTGGATCTTCCCCTGGGCCACATCGAAGCAGCAGGCAGTGGCTGCCTGCAGTCTCGTCCTTGTCAGCTCTCGGGTCTCATGGTCTATGTTCACCTGTGGGAGGCAGGACAAGCTCAATGCTGAGTGAGGGGTACAGACAGCAGGGCGACCGGTGGGCACTAGAGAAGGAAGGAGTCTCCCTTCTTAAACACTTTTTAAAGCATTTTTATGTGTTTGTGCCTGTGTTTTTATGCGTGTGCGCCACATGTGTGCAGGAGCTCTGGAGGCTGAAGAGGGTGCTGGATCCCCAGAACTGGAGTTGGAGGAGGTGGTGAGCTGATGGGCTGGTGATGGGCTACAGGAGTTCTGGAGGAACAGTGTGGGGTGACCTATGTCTTCCCTAAGAGCAGCAAGTGCTCTTAACCACTGAGCCATCTCTCCAGCCTCAACAGCCAGCTTTTCAGTTCCGGGACAGTTCCCACATGGGACCCAGGGGTTGGTCCTCTGGGCTCTCAGGATTAACATGAGGTTGTGCTATGCAAAGCCAGAAGCTGTGTTGTCCCCTGTCAGAGCCCTGCTCCAAGCCGCTGCCTCGGTGCTGGATCTATGCAACCATTCCTAACTGGCGTCTCCTCCCCTCGCTCCCACCATCTGCTAACCTTGCAGCTGCTACGCTGAGCCCACTCCATCAGGGAATATCCCGCTTCCTCCCCAAGCCATTCACAAGGAAACTAGGATGACCACATCTGGCCCCCAGCCATATGCATGACTTCATGTCCTACTGTCTCCCTGCCCCTTTGGTGGCCTTCGCTCCCTGTGGCGGGACACCCTTCCCTCTCTTGATCCTTCCACCACCCCTCCCGTGTGTGAGCTGTTTCACCCCTTCCTAACTCCCGCTGTATGCTCTGGCCATACCCCACCTGACTTAGTGAATTGTTTTACTGACATCTTCTCTCATTAGAATATAATTCCATCTGAAGTTTGTTTTGTTCATTGCTATATCCTCTGAGATCACAAAAGTGCCTTGCATATGAGTGATACTTAAGCAATATTTATAGATCACTGTGAAATAAAGCAGCAGCCAGAAAACAAGATACAAAAGCATGGCATTACTCAGATATGCCCACCAGGTGACGCTACTGCTACAGTGTCGATACCTCCAGGAGGGAAGGCTGAACTGCTTAAAAAGAAAAAAAAAAATTGTTCCCCAAGGGTGGAGGCAGGTCAGCCAGGGCACTAAGCCAGGTTATCCATAGCTCTCGACTTGGTTCCTCCAGTTGATATGCTGAGGTTCTAAAAAATAACTAATTTACAAGTGTAGGTGTGGAGAGAAGGCCAAAAGCCTGCTGTCCTGCCACCGAGAGTCACAAACCCTAGGGTCTGGTCACTGAGGCCCTACCCTACCTTATCAGTCTGTAACCAAGAAGGCCGCAAAGCCTAATCCTTCCCTCACCTCCCCCCACGGGCCCCCACGGGCCCTGGCTCTCAGTGGGAAGGGGCAGGCAGGGTCTGGGGGAGTCGCGGCCAGTGCCGAGACACTGACCTCTTTAGGGGCTTCACTTTGAATGTACTCATCAAAGATGCGGTGAGCCCTGGTGGCCAGTTTGGTGGCTGATCGGATCTTCTTGAACTCCTCGCAGGCCAGCCAGAATTCCAGGTTCTCCTCACTGAACTCCGTCTTCAGAAAGGCGTGGAAGGCAGCCACTCCATCTGGTGGTGAGAGGAGAAAGGAGACAGGTCAGGCTAAGGGGCAGCTGGGAAGAAAGGAAGAAAAAACAGCAATTGCCATTAATGGCTCTATTTTTAGGGTGTAATTTTCCTGAACAAGGCTCTGCCTTTGTGTTCTGAACAGAGGCTGACACACTGGGGGACCCAGATTATTATTACTACTACTATTATTTTGCCCGTGGTTCTCAGCATCCCTGGGACAAGCTCCGAGCACATGAGTACACACGTGCCTTTCACAGACAGACAACAGGGTCCTACTTACGCTTGCTGCTCAGTAACAAATCGAAGGACTCTCTCCATCCCAGAACATCTTCTGAGACGCTTCTGCCAAGACAAAAGGAAAGAGCCGAGATTTTTAAGTTTTTTTAAGTCAGGAAAGGCATAGCACACATCCCAGTCAGAAGCTGATTATCAAAACTAACCCCTCACACTCATATGGGGTCAGAGTAAGCAGAGATGTTATATAATGGATAACTGGGCATTCAGTGGCTGATGCCAGTCTTTCCAAGGCTCCCTCTTCTGTAACCAAAATTGATTCTGTTCCTCAGGTGCTCAGCTTTGACTTGCACACCTCTCCATTGAAGCAGGAACTTCGCAGAAATTCTATCTACCTATGACCCCAGAGCCTAGCACAGCACCGCTGGAGTTCAATATAAAAAAAAAGTGTGCAGGAGGCCTTCTAGGCAAGGTGCTCTCTAAATGGAAGCTGCCCCTGTCTTAGCTCTGTATTGAAGCACATTGGCACCGCCAGATTAAAGCCCTGTAAACAGGAGTGCAGGCAGGCGTCTGCTGGGGTCTGCAAAACTCGGACTCCACCTCCTGCTCCATGGAGCTCGGCAGCCACAGCGCAGCAGTAAAGAGTCTCACTAAAGTCTCCAGGAAGGGTGGCTTGGGCCCCATAGCCTGTCTGCTCCTATTTTCAGCAACCCCCGCCCCCAGAACCCCAGGGTTGGTGAGAACAGGACTTACCTCTCTTTGCTATGTTTACTGATCCAATCGAATAAATCAGAGCTCAGCTCTGATTTATGAAGAAAGAGCCCCAGACGCGTCTTGAACTCTTTGGCTCTGAAAGACAAACCATGAGCATGGAAGGATTCTGTTTGCTCTGACAGCACAGGGAAGTGTTTTTTTGGGGGGGGGTCGCACAAGAACTGACTCCAAGAAACCTGAGTACACTTGACCGTTCCCCAAGGCCCTGAAAGCTTTTCTCACTGGCGTCTTCACGTTCTGAGCCACAACAGCAGCACTCGAGCTGTGCCCTGATAGGTCTTAACACTTTGGGGGCTCTAAGGCACTGCAGTCGCGCCCCGCTGTCCCCTCTACCCAAGTTCCCAAGCCTAACGGTTGGTGGATTCGGGACTCAGTCGTCGGGATTACTAAACAAACTCCTCTTACCTCTCCAGGCAGGAGTTGGGGAAGTGGGTCAGGGTGCGGCACATGGTTGCGCGCGCAGGGCAGCACGTCTTGGGGAGGGTAGTAGCGGGCTCCGTGGGGCACTGGAGGGCGAAGAGGGAAAAGCCAGGCTGTCCCAAGTATCCGAGTGCGCAGATGGAGTCGGCAGATGTGCACGCTCCGGGACCGCGGCTACTAAGGCTCTTATCTCCGAGGGGTGGGGCGGGGCCGGGCGTCCCCGGCCAATAAGAAACTGGGGCTGAGTCTTGCGAGGGAGGAGGCGGGGCGGGAAGCATGATGGGGCGGGGCGACACCGGCAGCCCCCACGGCCTCCTCCTGAGCACATGGGACTGTCCCCACCCTGGAAGTCGGAGACTTCGGGTGCCAGGAGAGGAGGGAGGACTGAAAACGAGACATACGCCCACAGGTTGCCGGAGAGGGGTGGGCGGGAGGTGGGCGGGGGGAAGCTGCCGACCTCTAGTAAAAGCAGAAAAACAGTTCAAAAGTGTCAGGAAGGGTTTTAGGGTTTTGCGGGGGTGGCGGGTCCGGGAGGCACTTAAGATATCACCGAAGAGACTGAGTTTCTAGGGTCACAGAGGACAGGAGCACGGGGAACATCACAAGAAAAAGTACATCACTGTTATACTGAACTCTCTCAGGTCAGAGCAGGCACCAGTTAAAGTGATGCGAGCTAAGTAAGCTATTCACCCTCCCACCCCCCACGCCCCGCCACCTCTGACCCCCCACCTCCGTCTTTCCTACCCCCCACTCCCCCACCTTCCCACTACCCCATCTCCCCACTACCCCCCCCCATCTCCTCTGATCAGAAAGCTAGAGATTTGGCCAAGATCAGGGTTGGAAACAGCAGGCATGTGGGGAAACATTTACTTAACACAATTATTGCAGAAACCTTTGCAACGATGCTTAAAAAGGTTACATGGCTCTGAGTTCCATAGTTATGTAAATATTAGTGCCTGAACTCAGACTTGAATTCAGAAACAGCTCTGTAACTGGTGAGTGATCCTGAGGCTAAGCAACTTGGAGTTCAGTGTCCGTCTCTGAGCTAATGGAAATGGATATGTGCTGCTCCTCACTACACTCTTCCCTATTGTCCCTCGGTTCCCTCTGAGATTGCAACTGAGAGGCAGCAGGTGAGCTTAAGGGTAGATATTTGTGGAGTTTCAAATCCTGGTTCTCCCATATACTGATGAGAGGCCTTAGGAAACTTCATCTTTCCAAATGCTTCCATTTCTTTGTGTCCAGGGTTTAGACAGCACTACACTTAGTTGATGAGGTGTTGTGGGTACTGGAGAAGGCTTCTGTTGGCTGCACTTCCCCAGGAAACATTCTGCAGCAGGAAGAGTTTTCAGAGAGGGAAGAAAAGCAGCGAGACTGAACAGTGGGAGAAGCCACGTCACGCCATTTCAGGAGAGGCCCATGGAGGGTCTTCAAGGATGCTCTAGGGTTGTATTGGACCTTCAAAATGTTTACTTCCAAAGCTAAATAGCAAGAAGCCTTAACATTAACCATTTATTGGATGCTGCTGTGCTGAGGTAGCCTGACCCAGCTCCAGGTGACTCCTCTCTCAAGGACACCATGCCACAGAAGGCCACACTCTGGAGAAGGGGATCAGGGTGCCATGCCAAATACCCACATCAACATGTAAGGCGTTTGGAACAAGACTTAGCATACAATCGGCACTCTATGTTGCATTTCAGTTTTGCTTAGGCCAGAATTCTAGACAGTAAAGAAAACATTGTTTTGGCCTTTTAGAATACAGATTTCCATGTATTCATGGGGTCATCTCCAGGGTTACAGTTCTTCAGCAAGGCCTGCTCTGTGCTCCATGGTGTAAAAGACCAAGGAAAGAAGGGAGGGAGTGAAGGAGGAAAAGAGGGAGGGAGGGAGGAGGGGAGGGAGGGAGGGAAGGAGGGAGGGACGGAGGGACAGAGGGAGGGGCCTGAAGATGCACCTGGGTGGCGGAGCACTTGCCTAGCATGTGTCAGACCTTGGATTTGCTCCCCAGCAGAAGGATAAGGAGAGAAATAGACAGGAGGAGAAAGAGACAAAGGAGATGCTCTGACCTGAAAGAGGTCAACCAGAAGGCTGGAGAAGGGGAAGGGAAGAGAGAGCAGGAGGGGAGGCCGATGAGCTATAGTTGTTGAGGGGGTTAAGACGGTGGAGTCCAAGGTTAGACACAATGTGCGACAATTGGTCAAATAGACCCCCTCCTTGAGCCAGGCCCTAGTTAGTGAACATGGTGACTCCGGACCGTTTGAAGCTTCTCCCAAACTCCCACATATGCAATGGGGAGCCAAGGCGGACAGGACCCGGCACTGCTTCTCATCGCACTCGTATCTCGGGTGCAGCCAACAGCACATCCACATGCTCATCTTGCCAACCTCAGCTCTTGAGGGCTTCCTACCTCACAGCCCTAGGGCCAGACTGGTGCTGGGCCGCAGCGTGTAGGCAGCCTGGGAGGACGCCTTGGAGAGCAGCTGGGTGTCTCAAGTCCTCAGGCCACGTGGTGCAACCCACCATCCAGCCGGCCCAGAGCACCTCCTCCTTCTGAGGCAGAGGTGCTCAGCTGGCTGAGGGCTTTGTTTCTCTTGGTAGTCCTCATGCCCACAGACACACGTTCATCACACTGCTGCCAGGCATAAGTGTAGGTGTCATCCATGGCACAGCCATTCTCCGTGTGACAAAGGGATGGACCAAGCTCTAGTCTCACCTGCACTCCTGCCCGTATTTGAATCAGCCCAGGCGTAACCTCGTGACAATAATGCTGATTTCCACAGACTCCTCCCAAACTTCCCTGTCCATTCTGCATCCCCGTGAATAGGCCATGGGAGGCCTTTAGTTTCCATTTTGTAGGCAACGAAATAGCAGTGCCTGAGGTGCCCTTCATTAAATGAATCCAGACAGGAAATAGCTGAATCCGAGGCTGCCTCCAGATTCCTGAGCTAGTGTGTTTTACTTGCCAAGGCAAGCAGAGACAAAGGCAGATGTGCAGCACACAGACAGGCAGATCTGAGAGCACACAGCTCCCCGCTGAAGATGAAGAACCCTCCTCAGAGTTCAACCTGCCTCCAGGTTGCCATGGTTACCTCTCTGGTTTCCAGGCAGAAACTTTTTGAAGTTCACAACGTATCCCAGATTCTCTTCCCAGCAGGTCAGTTCCTATCTGTGATTTCAGAAATGCAACTGACCCCCACGGTTGCCGGGAATCTAGCCAGTTGAATTCGCTTGCGAATCGCACTGGCTTCGGCAAAACCTGACCTCATTTTTTTTGCTCAGCATGTCCAGCACAGCTGCCATCTCTTTAATGGGGGGCGTGAGGACAACAGCTTTGTGGCCTGGGTCGTCTGGGATCAGCAATCGGAGCAAAGCTGAGGCCAGGGTTAAATACAGCACGGTGTCCAGCCCTGCTCTCCTTTATTTCCATCACACCCTGTGGTACCCAGTGCTACCCTTTCTGTGGCAGCAGAAGTCCAGGGAGGAGCTTTGTCTATTGTAAATGGTGTGGCAGTGAATGACTGTAATCTCCTAAAACGCACCACACCACACACACACACACACACACACACACACACACTCACACACACGATCCCCACGGTGTTGTGGATCCTCCAAATTGAAAAATCAGTCTCCCCATATATATTTATTTCACGTTTACCGTGTTCGCAAGTCAGTGGGAAACAACAACTTGTGAGAATCTTCCCTTGCAGGGATTTGTAATTTAGGAGCCAGGAAGATGGCTTGATGAGTAAAGTGACAGCCTCACACATACAGACCTGAGTTTGGGCCCCCGATGCCCACCGAAAAAGCCAGGTGCGGGCCACGTGTCTGTCATCCCGGGGCTGGCAAGGGAGGGGTGTGGGATAGACTGACAGAGACAGATGGACCCCTGGGGCCAGCCAGTCTAGTTAAAACCCAGGTTCCATGCCTGGAGGAAATAGCAGGATGCCGCACTCATCTTCCATCCCATAACTCTGTCTCCTGTATCCTCTCCCCGCTCACCCCCTTATTTCCATTCCTTTCTCCCCACTCACACTTTCCACTTCAGTCCTTGCCCTTAGCTGTGGTGTCGTCACTGACTCTGGACTTTTCTGCTTCCTTACTTCCTAGTCCCTTGTGTCTACAATTCCCGAGGGTGGCTGTGGAAAGCCCCATCTTCTGCTGAAGTCCCTCAGATAATCTCTGAACTCTGCAGTCCCCTGCAGTCCTTCCCAGCCCAGGCTCCTCCACCCCCATTTGTTCCTAGAAGATCCTGCCTCCACTTGGGAGGGCGAGTGTCCTGAAGTCAGACCTTTAGCTTCAGAAGTCTCAGGGACAGGGATACAGTGAGTCTTTGAGGCTCTTGCTCCTCCCTGTCCTCCAGGACCCGGGCCACTGCTAGGTAGAGCCTGGATCTCTGTGTTTATACTTTCCGGGCTCTGGCGTGTTGGTATGCGCCCTCATAACTACCAAGCATGGTGTTTATTGCTGGACACATGTGAGCTTGTCTGCCTAGCTGTGCTGTCTTCCTAACACCACAGGGGACTGTCCACTGTCTCCAGCCTCCTGGATTCCCCCTGACTGCCAGTGACTAGGTTTTCTGGCCTCTTCCCATGGTGCCTCAGCTCTCACCTTCTAATGTGCCTACCCACGGCCCTGTGGTCCTAGTGATCCAACCCCAGGGAGACTGAGTCGATCGGAGCCATCCACGACCCCATTTAGTCCTCATACCGCCATTGCCAAGCTGGAAAACTATCTAAGAGCTTCTAAACATCTTCCTCATTGTGGCTCCCCAACCCTTTCCTCGACTTTGTCACAAATTCTCTCTTCTGAGAGCGCCTCTCTTCCATTCACTAAGACTCAGAAACACACTTTGGAGAAATCTAGGTTTTCCTCAGGGAAGCATTTTTCCAAAGCCCTGAGAAGTCACTCAGAATGAAAGAGTCTAGAAGAGGGAAAATCTGAGGCCTGGCATTTGCAAGGAACTGGGAAGCAGGGGTTAGACCTCTGGCTCTAAGTCTGGACACAGAGCTGTTTTTTACCTCAGTACTGCAGAGTTCTGCGGGTTCTGGGTAAGGCCGTGCTTTGTTTCAGGCAGGAGCCAAGCCTTGAAGAAGCTGAATACCTGCCACCTGGGGCTGGAGTAGAGGAGGTGTCCTAGCCATCCCCAGCGTCACCCCTCTGTCACCCCT